GTGACGCGAGGGCTCATTTATCCAATCCCACTCAGGAACATGGTTGTAGGAAGAACAATAGCAATTCCATTACTGGGGGCCGCCACATTCTCGTGTCATGTTTATGCAGTGATGAATTAGTCACATTGTTTGTTCCACTTTTTTTTGTACGACTTTTTTTATTGTGGTTGTTATTTTGTTTGTTTGATCGGTTCAACGGAGAACAGATGGGAACAATAGCGGTCATCTAGTGCAGGAAAACGTCCAAACGACAGACAGAAAGACCGAACGATAGACAGAAAGATATGGCGGGTCGATATGGTCGAAAACTGCAGGATCTAACGGCAGCATCCTTCAACCACCCTCTCAATTAATCATAGCTAGCGTCAGTGAGGGTGGTGCGTTAGACAATCAAACAATCATTTGGAACAATCATTGTGACATGGCTCCCCGCGGAGACAAAGACAGGCTGTGGTAAATGATTGAGGAGGTGCGCCACAGAAGAGTTTATGAAAGATGCAGGAGCTTGATGGAAGGGTCTGCACCTAGGGGTGGAGTCGGTCATCCTTGGGGGACACGCAACTCTCTCTCTCTCTCTCTCTCTCTCTCTCTCTCTCTCTCTCTCTTTCTATGTACGTGTTTCATCCCTCCTCTCAAAACCAATATCCGTATGATTCTCCTTCCCTTGAAACAACTATTCAAAAGTCACATAATGTTATACCCAGAAACACTTAAAAACTATTCCGATAAGTTCAAAGTTGGTGTGTTGTAACCGTTAGACATAATGATTTATAATACATATTTTTAAAATTTGCTCTTCAGTCTGCCTGCGATTTATTTGGGCATTCGTCCCTCACGAATAATTAACGGTTATTTCAAATTCCATGTCAGAATTGATACAGCCAGAAACAATTAAGACAACAACAAAAATAACGATAACAATAAGAACAATAACTGTACCAACACCAACAACAATGACAATACAGAAACATCAAAGACAGTATAGCAACAACAACAAGAACAGCTTCATCATCATCATCATCATCATCATCATCATCATCATCATCATCATCATCATCATCATCAACAACAACAACAACAACAACAACAGCACCACCACCACCACAACCACCAACAATAACAACAATAACGACAGTAACAACACAAGCAACAACGAGAACAAGAACAACAACAACAACAACAACAACAACAACAACAACAACCACAACGAATAAAACAGAATTTAAAAAACCCAAACAAAACAAAACAAAACACCCAAAACCAAACCAGAAGAGGAGAATCGGGGCGACGCAGCGATGGGAACCACCTGATCGTGATAACGCTAGCTCTTTCCCAACAAGGTTTATCCCTGGGACACGCCCACTGAGCACGTCCGGTGGAGCCGTCCCATCTGCCCCTGTGCAGGGCTCGTGTTTATCCACCTGTCCGGTTA